AAGGATCATATAATAGAGGAAGAGGCCGTGGGGGAGGCAAAAGCCGTGGTGGTAGAGAAGGAGGTTGGAACAGAAACGGTCGTGGAGGAAGTGGTGGTGGTCAGGGGTTATCTATTTAAAATTTTTTGTAATCTTTTTTACTTCTTTTGTTCTTATTTCAATTTTTTTTCGAATTATAATTGTCGATTTCATATTATTCTTACAAAATTTATATTTAAAACGTTCAATTAATAAGCAAATATTAAATTTTAATAACATTTTAGTAGAATTTTCAATAATAAATTATAAGCACAGATCTCCAAAATGGGCGAAGTTATTTTATCTTACTTTAAGTTTTTTTAAATAAATAAACAATTTAATTTGTTCTTCAAGTACTAGCAAATTCCAATATCTGTAGCTCTGAATAACAATAATAAAAATTAACATCATGTCTACTGCAAAAGACCAAAAAGTGTTCTTAGGCCAAAAATAAATCACTCTCTGAGAAGGTAATTCATAACGCAAAAAAGTATCTATATTTTCCATACCCATCCAAATAACAAGCAATCGTTAATTAATAATTTCTTTTTTAAATGCAAAGCTATGTTTTCTTATATTAACTTTCTGGAAAAAAACCTACCTTTTCAATTGCGGAGTACAATCAGGAGCAATATCTAACTTATTACTTCTTTAATCAAGTATAATTGTAAAATGACATCGTCAAAATATTTCAGGTATATCTTAGAATCAGTAGAAAAATTTACATAAAATTTAACTTTTAATATTTTTAGATATTTTTCAATAATCTATTTTCAAAAAAATTACAAAAATAGGTATTTGTATTGATGTTGTAAAGTTGAAAAAAATAAGTTCTTGAAATGAATCAAATATTTTTATTAAATGCAGTCCTGAGACACCTGTCCCATACTATTGAGAACAGGGTGTCCAGCTACCCCTGAAAAGTACTTGAATTCTTTTTGCTCTTTGAAAATCTTGAAAACACCCTGAATTTTATGACGAAACCTTGAAAAACTAAAATTCTTAAAAATGAGATTTATTTTCTTGATGTTTTAAGTTGAATTCTCGTCAATATTTCAATTATCTTTATAAATATATATAAAATTTTTCGTCGAAATTCAATTATATTCAGGAAACTTAATAAAATTCATTGCAAAATACAATTATTTTTATAAATAACAATATGCAGCACAAGAATTCAATTATTTTAAAAATTAATTAAATTCTTCGCAGAAATTCAATTACTTTCAAAAAATCTAAAAAAAATTGTGATCAACATTTCAATTTTTCTTACTTAGATTTTTCTTACTTAGATGGTTTTCAATATTCTACTATTGTAATAAAATTTCCCGAAAGAATTTAATTATGAAACAAAAGTTTTTAAAATATTCTACACAAACTTTCAACTATGTATTTCCAAAAAAAAAATGTTTACATTAATTAAATTATTTAAAATAGAATTTGCATACATTTTTCCGTAAAAATCAATTGTTTTAAAATTGGGCATTAAATTCTTCGCAGTAATACAATTATTTTCAAAAATTTATCCTAATTCAATAAATTGTATATCAATAAATTATTTTAATAGGAATTCTCAAAAGAATTTAATTATTTAAAAACAATTTTGATTGATGTTTCTTAAATCGATGTTCTTTATATTTCTATAATATTTTATCAATAAATTGTATTTAAAGTTATTTATGAAAAACTGTTGTATGTAGAAATTATAAAATTGTTTATAAGTACTCTCTAAATTTGAATTAGTAAAAATGTTTACTAACTTGAAGTAGTGACTGATATTTGCTTTTTGATTAGTAAATTTTACTAAAAAATTAGTAGAAATGATTATTTATTAGTAAAATTTACTTATTTAAAATCAAAATGTCAGTCACTAAATCAAATTAGTAATCATTTTTACTAATTAAAATTTTCAGAGTAAGTAAAAATTTACTTGAAATACACTTATTGAGAAAAACTAATAAATAGAACTTACTCTATTATACTCGATTATAAATAACAAATGTTTTGAAAATTAGTACCCTAAAAAGTGGACCATGAAAAAAATTATTTTGGACTTTGAAAACCTTGAAAAGTTTTACTTAAAACTTTAATTCATGTTTTATAATAATTAAAAAGGATCAAGTTATAAAATAATTATTTTATATTATAGAAATATAGTTAGGTACTGTAACTTCTTCGAAATTATTTTCATCATTTTCAATTCAATTATTATTGTCTACAATTTTTAAATAAAATTCTTCTTTAAATAAGTTACTTTTAATAATTTTCGAAAAAGTTCTTTGAGACTTTTAAAATCCATTTGTTTAAAATTTTTTAAAATTTCTTTAAACCTTTTTGAAGAAAATTCCATAAAATTTTAAATTAAAAGTATGAAAAATTCAAATTTTCAAATATTTTAATTTAAAACTTTTTCAGATTACAATTATTTCTAAAAATGCATGCTATACTGATTTTAATATTAAATTATTATATATATAATTTTAATTGAAATTCATTTTTAAATCAATTTTTATTAGAAATTCTATGAGAATTCAATTATTTAAATATTACAAAAATCAATAACTTATTGAATAAAATTAATGTTTTTTAAAATTGAATTCTCATAAAGAATGTTATTAACAAGTTTTTAAATAATAGAATTCTTTTAACGAATTGTAATACAAATTTTTTAAATAATTTAATTCATGCAACGAATTTTATATAAATTTTCAAAAATAATAGATTTTTTCGAAAAATTGTATGAGAATTATGTTTCAATATAATTAAATTCCTGTAAAAATTTTTTTATTTATGAAAATAATTGAATTTCTAAAAAGAATTTTATAATTTACATAATAATTGAATTATTGGGAAAAAATTCAAATTTTTGATAATTCTAATTAAAAACATTTGAAGAATTTTTTTAAAATTATTTTAAAATAATAGTTTCTTTAATAATTTTAATTGAAAATTTTCAAAGCAATTGAATTTTATATGAAACCATTTCTTTCAATTTTTTTACAATAATCGTGTTTCTTAATAATTGAAATTAAACATTTAATTCTTGATTTTTATTAAAATTTTTAGAAAATAATTGAATTTCTGAAAAGAATTTTATTATTAATGATAAATAATTTAAATCTTACAATGAATTTTACTACTTATAAAAATATTTGAATTCATTCATTTTTAAATATTTAAAAATTAATTGAATTTTAAAAAAGTTGCGTTTACATTTTTCATAAGTAGATGAACTACAAAAGGTTTTAATTTTAATGTTTGTAAAATTTCAATTTCAAATGAATTTAATTAGAAATTTTAATACACCTAGATTTAAAAAAATTGTAAAAATTAAAATTCTTCTGAAATGAACTAAATTTTTTAATATATATTTAATTAATTATTAAAAAAATGGATTTATAGAAGAATTTTAGTTGCAAAAATCCAATTATTTTCAAAAATTGTAAAATTCTTCTCAAAAATTCAATTAATTTCAAAAATTTGAATAAAATTCTTGGTAAAATTTTAATTATTTTCAAAAATTTTAATAAAACTCTTGGTAAAATTTTAATTACTTTCAAAAAATTTCCTCAATTATATTTTTTACAGGGATTTAATTATTTTCACAAATAATGAAATTCATCGCAGACTTTTAATTATTTTCAATACAATTTTAACGGAATTCCTGGACAAATGTAATTAATCTTAAAAATTTTATTACAATTTATCAAAGAAATTAAATTATTTAAAAAACTTTTGCCTATTTTTCCAATACATTTTTAATTAAAGTTCTTCAAAGAATTAAATTATTTTCAAAAATTTTAATGAAATTCTTTGTAACAATTCAATTTCTTTCAAAATAATTTTAATAAATTTTGTCAAAATTAAATTATTTTAATTGTCTACTATTTCAATAAAATTTCACAAAATAATTCAATTATTTAAAAAGAAATTTTAGTAAAATTCTTGGCAGTATTTCAATTATTTTTAATACAATTCTAGAAATAAATAATCGAAATAATGAAAATAATTTTTGAAAAAGTTACAGTAACAAATTAGCAAGTTTTATAATAATTATTATTCTTATATGTTATTGAATTTAAAATTTTCAATAATCTTAATTTCAATAAAAAATAATTATAATTAAACATTTATTTAAGACTAAAGTTCTTTAGAGTCAGGGAAAAAGTCAAAGTTTTGTCTGAAAATCAGGAAATTATTTAATTGGGTAAAATATAAATGTAGTTTAAAAACCTGGAAAAATTCCGTTTTTTAACCTGGAAAGCGTGGAAAAGTCAAGGAATTTAAAAATAGCAAAAGCGTGAGAACCCTGGAATTATTTAAAAGAATTTATTAAAATTTTAGAAAATAATTGTATTCTTTCGAAAATTATTATCAAATTTTTTTTTAAAAAATGAATTCTTTCATGAAATTTTATTAAAATTATATTAAAAATAATTGGATTTTTGCAAAGAATTTCACTATATTTGTAAAAATAATTGAATACCTTTGAAGAATTTTGTTATTTTTCTAAATAATTGAATTATCAAAAAAATTTTAAAAATAATTGCATTTTGGAGAAAAATGTTATTATTTATAAAGATAATTGAAATTTTGATAAGAATTTTAAAAAACTTTTGAACATAATTTATTAAAATTTTTTATGTCAAAATTTACATATAATATATGTTATTGTTATTTAAAAAAGACACAAGTAATATTTAAATCTAACAATGTTAACATTTTTCACAGATGATAATTTATTTTTTGAAAATATTAAAAATATAAAATTATGTTACGTGATGAAAATTTGAAAAAAGTGAGTTATAAAATAAATGTTTCAATATATTTTTCTGAATATTCGAGTGTATCACGATATGTAATATTGAATCAATTATAACCCGACATTCTATTATGATTTAGGGAATTTAAATAAACGCGGTATGGAGCATGCGCACAGCGTATCCAGTATTGCAACCGGCTACGACTTGTAGGTTATATCCAATTATTTCTAGAGGTTCTAGAGTCAGTTTTATATTTCTCTTTACATTTTGAGACAGTGAATTAATAGACAATAAATAACTGCAAAGTAAAAAATACATTTTCTAAATGTACTAAAATTCCAAAAAGAGGTGAGAACACTACTGTCAATAACAATTTTACAGAGTAAACAAATTTTCCAAAAAAGTTTTGGTTATGCTGTAAATATATGTTTACTGTCAGACAAGAAAGTAAGTCATGTGGCTTATTGTATATTTAATAAAATAAAATATGTATACAAAAAATAGTGCTTCATAATGAAAACAAGTGCAAAACTTTTCATTTGTCAGTTATTGACAGTTGCTGTTAAAAAATGGATGTGTTATTTGATGTTTTTCATTCAAATTATGTTTTTTAAGTCTTCAGTGAGTTTTTATGTTTACTATGTAAAATTGAAAAATGCATATCTTTAAAAGTACTTCAGTAAATTTCTATTATCAGGAAACGGAACCTGACAAAAAAATGACTTATTTTTATTTTGCAGTTGCTATCTGCACCAACGATTAAATTTTAATGTGTAAAAAAGGATATTGAAGAAATATATATTTCACAGACGCTGGAAAGATCACCCGAGGTTTAGAAGAAATCGAAACTCGTTACAAACCGAATACTTTTAAAACGAAAGTAAGGTTTTAAAAGGTAAGTTAATAAACGTTCGTAATAAATAAATTTTATCACACTGAAAAGCTAACTTTACATTAAATTCTTAGTTTACAATACAATCATGGCGATAGCATCACTACGAGTAAAACAATTATTTACAGCTAACTAATTTCTTTATAGATATTCAATCTACGTAAGAGGAAAAAAACTCCCGACACTTAGACTGCTGTAGTAGAGGAAATTTAAGCCATTTCAACATTTCTGCTGTCATCGATCAAGAAATTGTGCAATAATAGTGTTTCTGCAAAAGCTGTAAATATCAACCAAATTGTGACAGGTGTAATTGCTTTACAAGTTTTCATTCAACGTAAACGTCAAGCATCAACAGAAGATCAAGGAGAGGATTTTTTGTGGGAACTGATTAGTCAAGAAGAGGTAAGAATTTTATCTGCAATAAAAATAAAAAACTGCTAACAAAAATAATTTCAAATTTTTTTTATTTAAACATTTTTAAAAATACAGTCAAGTCTTTTGTCCTAATAAACACTTTTTAGTGAAGTAAACTTATGATTCTAATAAAATAGCTTTATTGCGCATCAAAAAAGTACCTTATCAAATTTATAATTACAAAAAATTTTAATTATTGAATTTTTGATGTTTTGTCCATATTGATATTTTTAATTTAATATGTCTAAGATTTTAATTTAGACTATAATGCCTAGAAAACCGTCACGTTACATTTCAATTAGTAAAGTTGCTTTTGTGTGAATCGCTGTCACACTAAAACCAACTTTTTTCTTTTTTTCAGAATTTGCACAACTTTAAATTTGCTAAAATTTGAAATGAAAAAATTATTCTTAAAAATTTTTTACAAAACATTTTTACAATTAATAAAACGGCTACTGGAAATTCAATTATTTCAAACACAGTTTTACTAATTTTTTTCGAAAGAAATCAATTATTTAAAATAATTTATATAAAATTCTTCACAGGAAGAATTAATTAATTATTTTTATTTTATTAATTAATTTAATTATTTTCAATGCTATTTACAAAAATTTCTTTAAAATTCAATTACTTTCAGAAATTTTAATAAAATAATTCACAGTGATTCATCTATTTTAAAAAATCCTTATAAAATTCTTTATAAGTATTAAATTATTTTAAAGAAATTTTAATTAAATTCGTCGAATAAAATCTTAATAAAATTAATGAAATTGTTGTAAATTGAAATACCTAGTATTGAAATGTCTATTTTAACAAATTATTAATTTATTGTTTTTTTAAAATGCTTAAAGGATTGAATAATTTTAATTACAAATGTCAATAAAAGAAATGATTGAATTTTGGAAGAATTACAGATGTAAGTTTTTAAAGTTGTTAAATTTGAAAAAGATTTTACATAGTAATCATTTAAAGTATTTTAATTTCTGTGGAAAAAATAAATAAGTAAGTATGTAAATATTTATTTAACAAAAATAATTCAATACTTAAATGTAATATAATTTGGAAATTATGAAAAAAATTAGTCTTTTGGAAAAAGTGTAATTAAAAATGTTTTTATGATAATAATTTCCAATTATTTGGAAATTTTGTCAAATTTAATTAAAATAAATTTTATTTTTTACTTAAAAAAATTATTTTTAAATATCGTATTTTTGAAGAATTTAAATAAAATTTAGAAAATTATTGAAGTTTGTAAAAATGTAGAATTTACGTTATTAACAGTATAAGAAAAAAAGTAAATATTTTTGATGAAAATTAGGAAACAATCAGGAAAATGAAAAACAGAATTAAATTTTTGTTATTTTTGTGAATCGTCTAAAACGAGTTTTGTAGTCGTCAAATTTAATTTTTAAAAGCTACTTTTTTACTAATTTTTTTGTTTTTAAAACTACTTTTTTTTATTGCATGCCATTACTTCAGGCAGGAGTTTTCTCATCCTAGGACGGTAAAACTACTGCTTGAAGCAAAGCTATGCTTTACCTTTCAAAAACGCACCGATTAACCGGGGATTCCATTCTCGTTTTGTATAAAATGTGTATACCTCGGGCGCACGCATTTCTCGTCCTCGCTTGTTTACAGTATCTCGGTACACAATGTACTTTTATTGGGCATGTATAGCGGGTTGAAAATCGAAGTTTATAGGTTAATTGATGTTAGTAGAAAATAAACATACAAACAGAGAGGAAAATGTTAGATCAGTTTTCCTCCATAACCATGTCCATTCTCTTCTTCGTCACCTAGCCTACAAACTTCGAGTTTCAACCATTTTACTGCTCAATGAACGAGATTTCAATCATTTGTGATATAAAAAGTCATATGTAACTCACAATTTTTTCTATTGTTCATAGTGTGCTATTTAATCAATTTAATTGCAGATTTCGGGAGTAATAAAGAAAACATTAGGCCTTGTTTTTTACATTGTGAACATCATTGAAGAAGAAGAAAAATTACGTTCAGTTGTCAGATAACTCTGGTGTTCAGATTTCTCGACAATTATACTCTGGAAATGGTGTGCTACTTGCGACGGACAGCTCCATAAAAAGTGTATCAATGTTAAGAACTACATCTGGTGAGAGCAATTGAATCTTTCGTGTTTGGGACGTCTTAAAATGTTCAACGGTCTAAATATCAATCTACCCTAGTCATATAGACTTGTAGTTATGTGCGATTCGAAAAAGTGAGTAACTGAAAAAAAATTTTAAACTATATTTAAATATTTTAACAGTGGCTTTGAGAAATGTAAAATTTTTTTATTTAATTTGTGGAACAACTTTTGAGCATTATTAATAGATGTATTTATTAAATTTTAATTTGTATATTTATTTTCAGTCTTCCTTTATTCCCATTGTGCGTATTTCGCATGTGACGAATGGATAAAACGGTGTTGATAAGAGGGTTCCGTCTACGCAGAAAATATAAGTGTGCTCTGGATTTTGACAGTAAGGAAAAGGAGGATTATTGGTGAGAAAAAATTTATATTCTTCATAACATTATTTCTATCTTCTGTTAGTTCATTCCTGACAGTAACGGATATTCAACGATATCCTACGGAAGTCTTAGTCACATCCGGAAATTTGAATATCCCTACGATGCCTTTAAGATATCTCAGGACATCCCTGAGACATCCTATGGATATAATAGTTTCCTGATATCCTTATGATATCCGTAGGATATCCAGAATATTCAGATGCTGTTAATAATTATTTTTCTTTCTACTTCACCCTCTCCATTTCTCTCGTACATTCTACATAATTTTCAAAACATTATTTAGGTTGTTTAATCAAAGTTATAAATTAAAACATATATTACTTCACTAGAAGATTTTTTAATTCAAGTGCAATTGCACGTGACCTTAATAAATTATCACATGGGTAAAAAAGAACTGTAAATCTTGCCACGCTATTAGAAAAACATCCAGATAAATCTTTTGTATGTGTTTAAATCAAATGTCTATGATAAGTCGTGAGTAAGTTAGCTTAATATATTGTTGATATATTTGGATATATAATTAAACTCAAACAATTCCATGAGTATAAGTCAAAAAACAATTTTATAAAAAGATAAAAAAAGGGTTGTAAATCTTACCACGCTATTAGAAAAACATTCAGATGAACCTTTTGCATGTGTTTAATTCAAATGTCTATGATAAGTCGTGAGTAAGTTAACTTAATAATATTGTTGCTTTATTTGGAAATATAACTAAACTTAAACAATTCCATGAGTATTAGTTAAAAACAACTTATTCTAAAATATTTTTAAATAAAAAAGAGCTGTAAATCTTGCCACGCTAATAGAAAAACATCCAGATGAATCTTTTGCATGTGTTTAAATCAAATGTCTATGATAAGTCGTGTGTAAGTTAGTTAATAATGTTACACTTTTGAACACTATATAAAGTTTAACTGATGCAATTAAATATGTACAAGTTAAATAAACAATTCTATAAAAAGTTCTTTAAATAGAAAGAGCTGTATTAAATTTAGATTAGTTTATAAGCCTAATCCCAATATATCAAAAATATGCATTATTTTGATTGAAAAGGATTATTTGGTTGACTAATTATATTTAATTCAAATATATATTGTTTTAATGTAAATAAAAAATTTGTTTAAAAATTTTGTGTTTCATTCAAACTTAACAGTTGATTATAAATAATTTTAAATCAACCATAATTTAATTAATATTGACACGTTATTTATAAAATAGTGCAAAATTTCCATGTTTAAAATAAATGATATTGTAATGGAAATATATGCGTGTACAATAGAATAACATGCCAAAATTAACGACACGGTAAAATTAAACACCTACTGTATGGAATTTATTGAATTTTTGTTATATACTTCAATAAAAATAACAATGTATGGTGTATCAAGTTGAAAATTCTAAGCATTTTTAAAACTTGTACCATAGATCTAACGATCTATGAAAGTTTTCACTTCATTTGAATATACTTACATGCATTTATCAAATTGAATAAATATACTTGCGTTAAGTAAATTCCGATTCATTTTCTCCAAATATACATGGTCTACATAATAAAAATATTTATTTAAAAAATATAATATAATAAATATAATACACAAATAAGTGAATTTTAATATTAGACTTAGTATAATTTTTATATAATTGTTACACTTAATAAAAACGCATTAGCTTCTTTTCTCCAACATACAAATTATTTTAGATTTAACAAAAAAATTTTATTTGAGGTAATAAAAATTAAGTTTTTATTTTTTATTATTAAGTATTTTATTAATATTTTTTATTTTGTATCTCAAATAAATAAAAAGAGTCAATTTCACTGTTTAAAAATTGAACAATCACATCGCAGAGGAAAGAATGTCTGACTCTGCTTATTGTTGAATATTCAAAAGACTAAAATGTTAATTAATTTTATAGTTAAACGTAAATCAATTTTTGGACTTTGGGTCATATTATGCAGTTTAAAATTAATTCGAAAATCAGTTCTTAGGATGCATTGGTAAATAGTAGAGCTGTGCAAAATAATTCGAACCGAACTATTCGAATTTTTTCGCCTAGTTCAAGTGTCGAAAATTCGACATTCGAGTTAGCCTAGTTCGAATGTCGAACATTTAACATTCGAACTAGCCCAGTTCGGATGTCGAATATTCGACATTTCGGCGACCCAAAACCGAACAAAACTCGGTTCGGTTCGAATTTTGCGCAGCTCTAGTAAATAGCTTTTGTACAATCTCTAAATCTGAATTAGTAGTAAATTATTAATCTACTAATCATTAGTAGAAAACAAATAATTCCACCATCAAATTTGACTAATTACTACTAAAAACTTTTCGAAAATATTTGAAAGACATAAATCTATTGACCTTTTAGTTATTTAACATGACCTAAAAATTAGTCATTTTTGACTAAAAGTTAATCAGTAATATTGTGCTGTTATTTTGTTTGGATTTATAATTTTTGTATGTAATGTTACTAAATTATTTAATAAACGTAGCAGTGTTGTTAAAATGGTCAGAAATGACTAATTCAAAATTAATAATCATGAGACTTAAATTTTCTCATTTTTTTTAAATCTAAAAACGGAAAACCTTTATACTACTATTAAAGATAAAAGTTAACTAATTTTGTAAGAGCATTTTTTTTCTAATTAGAGATTTATAAATGATTGTCATTTTTAAAAAATTCTCGTTATTGTTTTCCGGAAGAAACAAATTTTTTAATATTTAAAAATGGAAAATTTTTTAAATTGCAAATTTTAATTCTATAAATATAGAAAGCAATTTATTTTTCAATAAAAGAAACGTTTTATTTTTTAAATTAGTGTAATAGGGTAAGTGTACCAATTGCCGAGGGTGTCCCATTTGTCGATGTTACCATGGTAATAACCAAAAAATATTGTCTAAAATGTCTCATTTGTTTATGGATATAATATTAATATATTTTTTTCACATTTATAGCGCATAAGAAAATTAATATTTACCACTTTTTTCCATTTACAATGTGCTACAATGTTTAAATAAAATTCAAAGTTTGTTTACTCGACAACAGGAACCATCCTCGACAATTGGTACGTTTACCCTATCAGTTATTTAAATTTTTAATAAAGAAATAAACATATTTAATAATAAGATTTAAAATAATTAATTATTTCTTTAAAACAAATAATTAACTAGACAAATTTAACAAATTACTTGTAAAAACTTTTTATCAACATTGGGAAAACAAATCTATCGATTTTTTAATCATATATAAATTTGTTTGATTAATAAATATGTCATTTTTGACTAAAAATTAATTAATCGTAAGATTTATATTTTATTGTTGGTATTTCTTATGAAAATAAAAAAAATTTTATTTCACTAAAGAGAAAATAAGTAATCTGAATTTGTAAAATAATTTTTTCCCTAATTATAGAGAAATAAATGATTTTTATTTTAAAAAATCCTAGGTATTTAATTTAATTTTTAAAATGAAGCCAATTACATTTGCATTATACAAATTAATTGAAATTGAAAAATACATTACAAAAAACAAAGTGCAAAATTCTCCAATTGTATTGCCAAGTGAGGTTATGATGTACTTCACTATCAAAGATGTAAATAAATAAACAAACTATTGAATTTTAGTGCACTTTTAGTGGAAAATATGACTTATTTTTCTTACTTTATATATTATATTATTAATCATAATAATATAAACAATCTAACTAACATATTGAAAATGATCAATTTTTTGTGTTTATAAAATAATGCCTAAATGTTGTCAACCTAATAATATTATATAATGTTAATATTAGTTTAGTAAACTAATAATACATTTAAATATTTTTCAAATGAAATTAATAAGATTTTTATAAATTTATTTTTATGAATTATGGCTGAACAATTTTATATTTAAATTTTGTACTATTACTAGAAAAAAGGAATAGTCAAAATCAAAATAAAACAACGAATTTGGAATAAGAGAATGTTTCTTTTATTTATGAATCTAATTTTTGTTTCATGAATTGCATTTCTTTGTTACAAATTATATTTGAAATTAAAAAATGCATTATTAAAAACCAAGTGCGAAATTCTCCAAGTATATTGACAAGTGAGGTTATACCGAACTTCACAATCACAGATGTAAATAAATAAACTACCGAGTTTTACTGCACTTGTAGAAAAAAAATATGAAATATTTTTCTCAATTTTTTTAACTGCTCTAAATATTTTTTAAATTAAAGTTTAATACAATTAAACATTTTATTCAATCGCGTTTTCATAACGCCAGGAAACTGAGCGACTGACGTAAACACTGCGCCTTTTTCGCAGCCGCACCAAAATTGCTAATTTCTGTGAACTCGCTACTTAGAGGCATTAGCAGTGCCATCTTGTAGTGCACAGCACAGTTAAAATGAAAATATTGTGTTCTACTGTTATCTGATAGCTCAGTGAAAAAAAAATATTTAGTTTATAACTTTTTATTACTTCCGTTTATAAAAACCAACTTCCATTTATTTTTTCATCCTTTTCCATCATTTCATACATTTTTTTCTTTAAATTGTGAAAAAAAATATAATATAAGACCTTGTCGCTTGTCACCAAACCACTTAGACCCCCCCTTAAAGAAAATGTCAGAACATTTCAGTTAAAAATAATATTTATAAATTAATAATAAAAAAGTACATGTTTCGGTAACCTATTTGCAGTTAATTTTTTTTTAATTTTTCTTTTAAAATATTTTCAATATTAAAATTAATGTATTGAAAATCTTCGAATTATTGCAAAGAATTTTATCAAAAAATTTAATAATAATAGAATTCCTTCAAAGAATTTGTTTATTTAGAAAAATAACTAAATTCTCGCGAAGAATTTTATTAATATTTTTAAAAATCCTAATTAAATTCTTTTGAAAAATTTCTTTGAATTTTTTTTTAAACTAATGGAGTTTCTTTAATAATTTTAATTGAAAATTTCGAAAGCAATTGCATTTTATGAAGAAGAATTTTATTTAAATTGGATTGAAAATAATTGATTTCTTGCGAAGAACTTTACTATTTATCAAAATAATTGAAAGGTTTTGAAGAATTTATTAAAATTTTAAGAAATAATTAAATTGTTATGAAGAATTTTATAGAAATATTTAAAAATCATGAAATTTTTTCGAAAAATTCAATTAAAGTTGTTTCGAAAATAATTGAATTTCTTTAAAGAATTTTATTAAAATTAAGTATATTCAAAATAATTGAATTACTTTTTGGAAATAATATTCTTTCAATTCTTTTGACGAATATATTTAAAAATTGCATTGAGATATCTAGTAATTTAATTTTTATATAGAATTTTTTAAAAATATTTTGAGAATAATTAAATTGTTTTTAGAGAATTTTAAATTCTTGTTGAAATTAAATTTTATGGAAATTTTTAAAAATAATTAAATTCTTTCGTTTAATTTTATTTTAATTGGATTAATGATTATTTAATGCCTGCAAAGAATTTTAGTATTTATAAAAATAGTTGTATTATTTCGAAGAATTTATTAAAGTTTAAGAAATTAATTGCAATTTATGAAAATATTTAAAAATATTTGAATTCATCTAAGGAATTCAATTAAAATTGTTTTGAAAATAATTGAATTCCTGCAAAGAATTTTAATATTTATAAAATTAATTGAATTCTTGCGAAGTATTTTACTATTTATAAAAATAATTGAGTTTTTTCGAAGGATTTATT